TACAACACAGTATTTTAACTTTTACATTGCTGTTATCAGATTCTAATTCATAATCTTGCAAACATACACGAAAAATAAGCCACTGGTCATAAATTCTAATGATTACATTCAAAACTAGCCTTTAAAAAAATTAAAAAGTTACAGGCAAAACATACTGGTTTATGTACTCACTAGCTTATCAGGCTACAATAGGCATGTTGTAAGTATAAAAAAGCAGACAATTCAGATTTAAATAAGACTGTGTGAAATCAGAAAAAAAAACGTAGATTTCACTATTAAAAAAACCCCAAGAACACCTATAATTACTTCCCATCCTACAGCTACAGTTAAACCAACTAACAAAAATAATCAAAGTATTGTTGACAAACGAAAGTTAGGCTAGAGTATGTGGCAACAATCAAAGTTCATATATGTTTCTATGTAAAATGACTCATGATTTACTATAACATATGAACAAGAGCACTTCATGACTAATGAAAGAGCTACTAGTAGAAACATTTAATGCCAAACAGTCTTCAGCCCTCCTAAAAGTTGTATCTCCAAATCAGTATTGACTTCTTTTGACCAGATACATCATTTTTGGCTTGTCACCCGAGTATGTCATGTTTTACCACTTGTCACAGGCAGCAGGAGACAACTAGCTAAGCAAACTACAAGCAGTGACATGCAGAAATTAACTCTCAAGTCTGAGTACTTAGATAAAATGATATGCAAGCGCACACTAGGACAGAAGGAATGGCATTCGTCATCCATATAGGCTCATCATCCCTCCCCACCCCCCTTGAACAGTAGTTGCAACAGCAATAGAAAAAAATCAAGATGTCTGTTCTTCAGAGTCAACTGTGGAAAAAAGTCAGCAATATATAACAGCAGCGATGGACAAGGAAGAGCAAACTGAAAGAATCTTGTTGAATATTTGTTCATTTACTTTTTCTGAACATAAGCCAAAGTGTGCCACACTGGCTTTTTCTGAACTTCAGATACAGATGTCCTAATCTCCTTAGATCCTTCACAGACTTAGAATTCAGTCTCCCTGAGGCCCCTATAACCAAGTAAGAAAACTCTCTTTATCTAGCTTGGTGGCTGCCAAGACAGATTCCATGTCATTAAGGATGTCAGAGCTCAAAGCCTCTTGCAGACTTGGCATCAGTTCTTCTCCTTCTATATTCATCCCATCTCCTTCCAGTGTCCCAAGGTCCACATTTGTCCCTGGAATGGCTTCAAGGTAGTCTGGGAAACGGTTCTGATGGGATGGTATGTTACTTTGGCCGATACTGTCACCTAGTTATAACACAAAGTAAAATGGATATTAAATATACTGGAAGTACCAAACCTATAATTTAACAGGACAACTGGTTAAAAGGTTAATCATGTACCTCTTGCATTATACAAATAATGTGATTCATAGAAATCCATCACAAAACCCAAAGGTAACTTCAGTGCATGCAGATGCACTAAGAACATGTCTTTGTTTCAAACCTTCATCTACACAATCCAAACCTCTTCAGGTCTTTGAAGTCATTTAGCATAATTTGATTTTTACACTTAAAGGAAAAAGACAATACTACATCAAATACAGTTTTGGAGTAGTATTAACAACACTGGACAAGGTACTATTAGCTCTGAACAAAAAATATTACTTTAAAAAGCAAATTCCTTATAACATACTCAAATTCCTTATAACAATAGGACTGATACTGTTCATGAGCAATCTCCCATCCTTCCAATACAGTTGATTACAAATATGTTTTTTATCAAATCTAACCATAATATTTCTATTACAGAAATAGGGGAAATAGAAAAAATAGAAAAAGGTATAAAAACAATGCATTAAGTATCACAACTTCTCAGAGTTGCTTGTTTTCATTGCAAATGGATACAAGTATATTAGGAAAACATGCATTAAAAATGAACACAAAACCAGACCTGTATCCATCTCATCAACACTGTTCAGGAAGTCATCTGGGGTTCTGGGTACACTGTAACTGCTCATGCTAAGTCCACTATCTGTGCTTTCATCTCTGGAGTGATATGTTCCACTGTAACAGAAGAAAGGGAGAAAAAAAATTAGGGTTTTTGAAGAAAAACAGAGGGTTATTGAAGAAAATAAAATAGATGCTTGTTTTTAACCAATTCAAGGGCTTTGTAAACATTGCTGTCCTGAGAAATACTCTACTATGATAAAAAACCTGAAGCCTTTGTGTGGGTGAGACACCCGGGTTGTATTTTATGCAGACCTTTTCCAATTAAAACCATATTATTTAGATTCGATTTAACTTGATGAGAGCATACTCAAGTAGCTTTAAGAAACTGCCTACTTGTGTTCTGCATAATTTTAATCTTTTCACACCCACCCACCCACAGCTAAAACCATTGGAAGCATATCAGATAGTCTGTAATGATTATAAAAAAAAAAAAAACAATGGTAGTTCACCCTTTCATGCTCCCTTTATAAGGATATAAAGGATATCCTTTATAAGGATAAAAAAAAATATTTCTAACTACTAATGTCCCCATGTTTAATCAACCACTGAAGTATATTTTTAGGTCACTGCTGTTATAAATAGTTGGAAATCCTTTAGCAATTCTTCAATTGCTTCCCACTGCTGCATTACTACTTGTTCAGTCACACATGTCAAGGCAAGAGAGTGCTCTAATATAAATCAATTACTGGTACAGAAGCCATCCTGTAAACAAACCCTACTCAGAATGATCCTGTTGACAGAACAGTTAACCAAACTGATGGCATGGGGCCTTACATGCACTCACTTTCTTACTGCCTTCTTACTGCCAGCGCAGCGAGCAAGACCAAGAAAGCACAGTGGGAAATTTGGGATGGGGCGGGGAAGCTGGCCAGCGTATTGAGTTTACATAGCAAGGTTTTGGTAGCGAGGGGTCTGCAGGGATGTTCGCTGTGAGAAGGCACCAGGAGCTGATCTGACGTCTGACCCAGCTGGTTCCAGCTGGCTACAAAGTGGCCCAGCTGCCCCAAGGCTGAGCCCATCAGTGACACTGGTGCTGCCTTTGTGATAACATATTTAAAAAAGAGTAAAAATGCTGAACAGACGGGAGAGAGGAGTGAAATTATGAAACAGCCCTGCAAGCACCAAGGTCAGTGCAGAAGGAAGGGGGGCAGGTGCTCTAGATGCCAGAGCAGAGATTTCCCCTGCAGCCCAAGGGGCAGACCATGGTGAGGCAGCTGTGCCCCTGTAGCCCGTGGAGGTAACATGATGGAGCAGAGATCCACCTGCAGCCCCTGGAGGACCCTGTGTTGGAGCAGGTGGGCATGCCCTGAAGAAAACTGCAGTCCATAGAGAGTCCAAGTTGGAGCAGGCTCCTGGCAAGAGCATAACATTACCTCCCTTCCCCTGCATCTCCTAATATCCAGTCTTCACAAAATATTTTAAAAATCTGTATTTCTTCAGGTTGGGGTAGCATTCACTGAGAATCCTTACTGATTTTCCAGCCTGCACGCTAAGTGAAGACCAATCTCATTGACTGTTCTAATTAGCATCTGAAGACATACTGATACTTCTCATAACATGCTTGTGAAGTATTAAGTATGCGCCTTTTTATTAAGTATGAAGAACCAAAGTGATGATGAACAGCTATTCAACAGTGGATGCCAGTAGAATGCCACAAGCCATATAAATATATAAGTATTAGATTTCATGAGGACATCCTTACTGTGCAAGAAAGGAACTTAACATTTCTTTACAGTTAAATCAAAAATATTTCTCTTTTTTTAGATTGATTTAAAAACAGAATCACCACACATTTGATACAATCCTAATAAATAAACTATTTAAAACTTTTGTGAAAAAATATGCTGGTTTACTTTATGGGACAAAATACTAAAAACAGAACTGAGGCTATGCTGAACTAAATCACTTTTGCGGAGAAGGCTTTTTGGCTGCTGCTCTCACACTTGGAATGTCCAGCACTTCACTTCAAATCACTCCTTAATACACGTTTCCTCTTTCTTCCAAAAGGATTTCTTCGTTTAGTAGTCATGCCACCCAAAATTACCACATTCAGCTAAACAGTATTACCCAAAATAGAGTGGATTCTTCTTCAACTAATAACTATTAAAATATGTGTATACAAAAGAAGGAATACCAATTTAGGAGTTAAACAGGGAATTACCATACTACCAATATAAATCTAGCAGATAAAAAGATATGAACAGCGTGGTAAATTAAAGGTGAAATAGTCTAAGAAAATCTGCATTGCTGAATGACCCATTCAAAAAAATCAAATATGCCACAATGACAGGAAGTACTGAAGATAGCAGGCAGATTAGTCTATGTAAATGAAAACACTACTGCACATTTTCTCAAACTGCTCCAGTGCAGTGATTATTTTCTGAGATTCTTTTTTTTTTTTTAATGATTTTATTATATAAGCAGTGGACGACCTAAACTTCAGGGCCTAAAATTAGGACTGTCTCACCAGGAACAGCCTATAAAGATAGAAAGAAGTATTTCCCTAAGTCTGTACTTTAACATAAGGAATACCAACAAGAACTTTAAGCAAAACTACTGGGCTGCTGTATCTAGTTCAGGACAGCAAAGCATTTTCACAAACGTCCTTTCTTAAAAATCTTTCCCATAACCATATGACAGAATTAAATGAAGTGATGAACATACAATAACCTAGAAGAAGACAGTGCTCAGATCAAAATGCAAATTAAAATATTCTGAACTCAAGTCAAGTACACATTTTTCATATTTTGCGTGGGGTAAGGGCTACAAAAAACCCCCCACAAACCCAGTCAAACCTATATGCAACTAGGCAAGCAGTACCTTTTTGCACTTTACAGTAAATATCAACCTGCCATGAAATTACAAAACATGAATTTGCCCTTTCTAGCTTTTGTCCTGTTTGTAGCTAATGGCAAAGATCCATCACTTTATATTTCATGTGTATAGACTCACAATGGATAAACTCCATCAGCCCATTGCTGTGGCCATTTGAAACCTGAAGATGCATTTCTTTCAGAAAACAGGTTTTGAAGACATGAGGACCTGTATGTATGACGGCAACAGCCTTGCAAAAATTCAAGCTAGTATGTTACTATAACACCATCATCTATCTATTGAGGCTTCTTATACAAGAGCAGGTAAGGTTTAACATTTCTTGTCCTTTCTGCTCCTTAGGGCAAGACCAGCACAGTTGCAGCTCACATGAGATCTCAGGATGAATTCCATTGGAGGATAATTTTTTGTTAGAGGGAGGGATTAAGTTTTCCAGTCATATTTATCTGTGTAGGCGATAAATTTTCCTGAAGGGATTACCCAAAATACACATATCACTTATCTCAAGCTCCAGCAGTTCTTCCAGAGTTGTAATGTTTAGTATGAAGCATTTGCAAGCTGTAATTTGAACAGTATTTCCAGCAGAACAAACACTCCAACTCAGAGGGAATAAGGAAGAAGTTACATGAAAAACTGGTGTATATTGCAAAATTCTAAATCTTGAATTAAAATACCCACTTCAAAATAATACAGCCTTTAAAATGAAACATGCCACTATTTGCAGACCTAACATTAACAGAGTAAAAATACTGCTAAATACTTGAAGTAGAGGGAAGGGGTGAATGGAGAAACTTTAAAATTAACCTCAAGGTGTAGTCCTAAATGTGCCTCACAGTTCATTTGATCTCACAGCAAGCTATTCACAAATTCTTTGAGTCAGTAATTTGAAATGACTGTTAGTCAACAGATTATGCAGAGGCAAACATGTTATGACTTTGAATAAAAACCTTCCTACAAGTCTGAACAGACTACTTCCTCCCACAGGAGACAGCTTTTAATCCTTAACTTTTACTAGACTTGCCATTTAAGGAAAGATTCATTTACAGCTGTGGCTCTTGGCACAGACAGATGTTCAAAATAAACTATTACATGTACCAAACAGAATTTTAAATCAAATTTTTTTTCTCTAGTAGCTACTCCTACAAACCTGTTAAGAAAGGGATCAGAACTATTTGTAGTCATTGTTCTCAGTTCCTGAGACATTCCAGGAGATGACACGGGGTTTTGAGATCCACCGTCTTGTTCCATTGTTGGAAGCTGGCTACGGAGAGCCAATTCCTAGAACAGCAGGAGGGGGGAAAAGAGAGATCATGTTAGGCATTTGAATGCACTTTTCAGATACACAGACACATGACATTATAGATAATTGATGCTTTTACTGCTTCTAGTTACAAGAGTTAAATGAAATAAAATTTCTGAGGACAAAGCAAGAATCTGTCCTGGCTTCAATGACAATGCAAGTTCCACCAGTAATGCCTAGCATTACAGAGACTGCATTGAAAATGTATTTATGGATACAAATATCTGTATATCTACATAAATATTTTCTAGTTCATTTCAATATCTTTTTGCTAAGTATATTCTTAAGACCAAAAAAAAGAATTGCTAATACTATTTGACCCCAAAGGTATGTCTGTCTACCTCTATCGATTAGGACTTTTTCCTCATTTCTCTTGAATTCTGATTCAGTCCCTGGTTTCCTTTTTACCTTTCTTGTTTCAGTCAGCAAACTTTCAAGTCTTCCCCATTCACCCTTCCTGTTTGAGGCATGCATTTAGAAATTTCTGACTGATCAAACCTATTTGAATTGTCCCACAAATAAATCCCAAAGCTCTTTAAATCTCTAGTAATTTCTTCATAAAACTTAAGACACTGCTATTCTAAAGTTACAAACCTAGATTACATACACATTTTTGCACATCTGACTGTTCACCAGTTTGAACCAAACCATCCATAAAGCTTGTCATTAGTAATTAATGAAAATAAGTTTTAACACAAAATACGCGAAATTAAAGGTGGATGGAGATAAGCAGCACTTAATGCAATTTCCAGTGACCCCTCTCCCCCTTTTTAGACAAGTAATCAATGAGTTAAATGTGAAAGAAAAAATAATAATTTTCTTCAAGTAACTCTCCTAAAACATTGTCAATGGCTCACCATGACTGAGTTTTTTTAATATAAAGACTGGTAAACAAATCTATTGACTATCTTGCTACCATTATTAGTAGTATGGGATTTCCAGGTTGTGCCTGGAAAGTTAATCTCAGGCAAAACCAATCAGTGTCAGTCTTGACAGTGCTCAATATTTCTCATTTGTCAAGTGAGAGGTCTTCATCCATTCTCAATGACAAGCCTAAGGACTACTGTACTGTACACTGTTAAAATATAAAAAAATAACCTTGTCCCCAATTCTTCTTCAAAGTGATTTCTTTTTTAAAAAAATTGAAGGTTATTTTATTTTCCAGCAGACTGTGCTGAATATCCCGCCTGGCTCTTTTTTTTTTTCTTTTCTAACCTGCATATGCTTCACTCCCATTACTGTGGATTATTATTACATATCCCTTTAATACCAAGTTTTATGTCTTGTACTAGAAGATTTTCTCACTACACTTGATTAGGTCTTTGCAGAAAGTGTACAAACACAGCACTGGTTTTTGTGTTCATCACACCCAACTGCCTACTTTAAGTAAATCCAGTCCCCTGCTTACCACCACTTACTTTGCTACTGTTCTAATAAATAGTAATAATGTTCCTTCCTCATTTTCAGATCACACAATGTTAGGCACTTTTTTATCATTCATAAAGGTTTATCCATACAATTTTCATTTGCTTATGTAATAAACCCAAGTGGAAAGCCTATATAATGAGGTCTTACTTCATAGCTAAGTTTACAAACTTGTATCAGTCACAAATTACCTGATATACAGGCAGACTAAAACCATTTAGAAAAAAAACCCCAAAAGTCTTAATTCCTGGAATGCTTCCCAAAAAGCGATCTGAAGAAGGCAGAAGGTTTTAAAACAGCCATTGTAGGGGTGGCTCAAGAACTGCTCACTCATGCTCTGTCCTTTTCCCCTTCCCTCTTGGTTTGATCTGTACACTGCATCTTTATTTCCTTGAGCTGCAATCCCTGACTGGGATGAAGAGGAGGAGCCAAAAGCGCCGAAGAGGCTTAATCATACACCAGTGCCACAAAGAGTAGTAACAAAGCAAAACCTACATGGACTCATTTCTGTATTTGATGCACTAAAGTGACATTGCGTGTCACTGTGTGGTAGGCCTGGTCTTTTCAAGCAGCACTGCCTCTTGATTCAATAGTTGAGAGAGTGAGAAAAAGAGACAGAAGGGAAAATCCACATGTCCCTTTTCAAGAGCTGTTGACACCAGGAGAGAAAAAACCCCACAAATTCTTTTCTGTTAATCGTATTTCACTGAAGGTCCACTAAAAAGAGTTGTATTAAGTCAGGAGAGACAACTGTATTTTGCCTATTCTTTGGCACGTACAATGTAGTCCAACTAGTATTTTTAAAATTAGTATTACTTTTACCCTTGTTTCAACAACACTGCTAAAAATGTAAAACTACAACTATTTTTAACTATTTATAAGTAGCATTACTGATACTTATTTGGGAGTCAGAAGCACTTTCCCTTTGAAAGAATGTTATTACATTAGTCATTTTAGTCATTTAAGTCATTTATGTCATTCTGGGAGTCTAAAAGAGGAAAGAATTACCAAAAAAGATGAGCAATTCAGAAACAAATACACAGAAATTTTTAATCATTATGTAAGATAAGCAGTTTCCTGCAAGCCCTAAAGAGCATATTAAGACTATTTTTCCTAAAAGGTGCATGCAATGGAAACTGAAGTTGTGTTGCTTGAAGAATGGTCTTTTCATTTCTCCTTCTTTATAAAACTGATTTGCAATAAAAAAAGTTATGTGTTTCCTATACTTAAAAAAAATGTATAGAAGGGTACAAGCCTCTCCAAGCTCCAAACAGAGCAATGTGAACTCTAGGCTTTTAGTCCATGCTTTAAAATATATCCTTTATTAGAAGTATTTAAAGTCTGGAGGCAAAAATAAAACCATGACAAAACCCTGGCTTAGATTTCTATAATCTGATCTCATCCTATTTTTGTAAGTATGTCAAACGTTTTTTAAGTACCTCTGGGAAAAGATTAGTATTCCTATCGTTAAAACAAAAACTGAATTTTTTATTACAAAAAGACCAAAATGATCTGTCATCTCTTCAAATAATTTTAAAAATAAGGTCAGCACTGTGTAGTTTATCTGGCTCACCTTATCCATGTTTTTTTGTCATAACTGCATACAGATTAAGTTTTACATGCAGTTCCAAGGTCATTCACACCATGTCCAAAGTAACTTTATAAAAATACCTTTTTCGGAGCATTTTTATCTTCATGTGCTTTTGAGGAAAGGCAGATGACTCCCTTGTGCAATTCATTTATCATATTCTTACTGTATCAAACATATGATACGCTACTCAATTTGAATTGATATATGCTTTTAATTGGTTTTATCAATTTACTTTAAGAGTGTCAATTGCAACATTTCTGCCCCCAGTCACTGCTTGACTATCAAATTTTCCACAAGCTTCCCTGGCATGTGAGAGAAGTTTTAGGGGAATGACAAGACCACAACACTTATAGACACACTTAGAGCACCAGTTTCTTCTTCCTTTTAAATGTTTGCATTCTTGTGATGGCCACAGAGTTACAGCACATACAGAAAACAAATAAGGAAGACACACAGACAGATGAAGACAAATGAGCTCAGCAATGATACCTTATGCAGTTTTGAAGAGCAAGGGGGAAACATATTATTCAGTGTTGCAACTGTGAAAACCAGCAAAATTAATTTAAGAGGTGATACTCCCAGAGTGATAATTAATTCTATTGTATACACCTAGAAAAGAACTCAATGCTATGTAGAGCACAATGAGCACAGATAGGGCAGCATAAAATGGAACAGACTTTTTTAATGGAAGTCTGGCTTCCGGTCTGATTTTGCAGTCCTTTGCTGTGCCCCTGTTTCATATTCCTCTTAGGGTATAAAGCAATAGCAATAGCTTTATACCCTCTCAGTATTTATCTGCCCCTGGCTCCACAGCACTATACCTGCCCTGCTGAAGTGTTTTGAAGCTCTGTAAGGCAGGTACCTGTCAGCAGGAGTCAGAAATCAGGAAGGCCAAGCACAGCTGAATGGCCTTCCTCTACTGCTTGTTATTCACAGCTATCTCATACTCGGTCAACATGACCTGTATCTTCTGCTGCCCAATTGCTTTAGCAGTACTTGTGTGATTAAGTTTTGCAACAGCAAGCACTACTGGTGACTCTAAGAAACCCTCTGCAGTGAGCTACAACTCCTACGTGTCCTGAAGAAATTAGAGGCATAGGCAATGAAGGCAGTTCTGTTTTACTCTATAGACTTCAAGACAAGGTGTTTATCCATAAAGATCAACACTCATGAGTAAGCAATACAATTATTTTGTTGATCTGTAAAGCTTAGGTGTTGCAAGTCCAACCAAGGGCTTCTGAACTTTCAAATTACTGATATAACACAAATATCTTTCCTACTGGGTATCTTCCATCTACTGATGCTCATTAGCTTCCACAGCGTATGAAACTCAAACTCGCCACAAGAACTAATAAAGTTTCACTCAGATCTATGATTTTCAATAAGGAAAGAAGCTACACTGTTTCAGGATCTGAATAACATTTAAAGCATTTAGTTCCCAAGATGGCTGAACAACAGCAATATTGCTTTTGCAGTAAAACTGGCTGAATCCCACATTTTGTATACTTTGATGGCAGCCAGCATACACTGCCTCCCTATCCCCCAATTCAGCCACACAGGACTCCCTTTCAACAACTAAGTTTCTGTCTGCTTATTTATGTCCAATCATGTATTTAAAGCAGTACCTTAGTGTATGCTCCTCAGAAATGCCAGAGATTTCAACAATAATGAGGTCAAGGAACATCTCCATAATTTCTACAGGACATCCCACTCCAAGCTGAAATCCTTGATGCTTTAAAAAACGTTCGGATTTATTTCACAGTGTTTAGAAGCAGCAGAGTTTGTTAGTCAGGGCAAAGGAAGATCTCGATTTCTTAATCACTGTGGGTCAACACAGTGGGCAACTCCAAAGTGACTTTCTACTGATAGTTACAGATGGCCTTTGACTGTGTATTCTTACCCTCCCTTCAGCTGGAACCAGCATTTTTGTATGGCCATACATCAAGACGAATCAGAAAACAGATCAAGCTGAAAAATGTTTTTTTTTTCTGAGAGATCAGATATTTGATCTATCTTGCAGTGTAGCCATACCAGTGCTTCAGCTAATAGATTATGCAAAAAGGATGTTAAATACATCCTGTTCTGCCGCCTTATTATTTATGGCAATCACTGGCAGACATCTTAAACTGGTGCAGTTCAGTTTGCCAGAGCGTGTCTACCAGACCTCTCAGCAAGAGGTCATTTTATTTAAAAGCAAATACTTTGCTTAAAAAAATACCACACAACTCCTCAGCTCCGGTCTTTAGCCCCTGTTTAGGATGTCTCTAGCCAGCTGGCTAAGTCTTTTTGTGAATTAATTTCTGAAGTCATGGCACCGCACAGGTGTGCTGCGTTATGTGTAAGCCTCATGATACTCTGTAACAAAGCTCTGTGCAACTGATGCTGTGTAAATGACAGGTACTTGATAGATTATCTGAACTAACCTTTAGCTACCTAAAATACAAGTGCTTTCCTAGAATCAAATGCTTATATAAAGATAGTAAGCTAAGACTTGTTATTACATTCTGAATTTACTGCCACAGACTAAAGGAATCAGTTCATTAATTACAAAGATTTTTGGAAGGTAGTCCAGTGAATAACAACAGTTTGCTACCTAATGAAGTCAAATATTCTTGCTAACTAAAGCGTATCAACGGTTCAATGAAAGCTGAGATAAATAAATGCATACAAAGTTGATTTCTGCTTCCTTGGAATCTTGGTATTATATATGCTGCTCTGCTCCCTTATCTTCATGACAGTTCTGTAGTAACAATTTCTGTCCACTGTGCTAAAGAAACATCTAACAAAACTTAAACCACAAGGGATAAAGCAAAACTTAGCAGTAGTAAAAAGAGCTATCAAGCAATTAAAACCCAACAAAAGGGTCACAAATAATACCTGATGTTTTCAGTAAAACTTTCAGCCTCACTAACATCATGGAAGTTCCAAGAGTACAGAATTCAAGACTGCACTTGTTTTAAATGACGCCTTCCTTTCTTTCTAAATGATGTCCCAAATCTGACAGTAACACAGCTTTGTATCGGTGTGCACGCGAAGTGACTGAAAAAAAATCTTTTCTTGAAAAATACCTTATCAACTGGACAGAGAATATGAGAGGTAATTCATAAAATATAAAGGACAAAAGAATAGAGATAATCAACAGAGAGCACATTCCAGGTATGCAGAACTACCAAGAAAGCACCACAAAAGTAACAACAGAAAGCCAAGCTGGAAAGCACAGCTGAACAGAGTAGCAGGGAACCAGGGCTGTACCTGGTTCTCAGAGACCTCATTTCAGTGCTAGAAACAAGCAGTAGATATGGAATGAGCAAGCATATACACAGGAAACTATCTCATAAATGTCTGTGTAGTAAGCTGATCTTATTATCAAATACCTTGATATTAGCAGCAGATAAATAATAAATCTTCCAGTCTTAGCACAAGAAAGTACTTCGCACAACATCTAAGAATAATGCCATCAGTGCCTCGACATTATTTGCCTCTATTTCTTTCCATCACACACCAGAAGGCAAGAATTCTGTTACTTAATATGTGGTCAACTTTATGACATATATAATAGTTGATTGACATCCGCTCTAGGTGAGACATTATTGACAACCAGATGCTAACTGCAGAAAAATGGAAGGAAAACTACTGGGGATGGAGAGAATCTTAAATCATTCAATCTCTTAACTATGGCAGATAGGCATCTTTAAGGTTTCATAAATAATTGATAATGAAGAGTGTTAAGTAACTGGACAGATGCTTGGTGTTTTCAAACTTCCTGGATGTATCCACAGTTCTTGTTTACACACAGTAAGTCTGGAAATTACACTTTTTGTTACAGATACCTTTTACTTGGACATTTTTAGAATTACAGTAAAATCCTCATTCAAACAAGAAGAGTCTCTTACAGTGCTTGTTAAAAAAGATGAAGCTGAGCAATTGTTTACTCTTTCCAGAAGGTGCTAAGGCCTCCATATACAACACCTGGAGTGTTTGTGTCACTACAGTACAGTACAGTATCATGGCAGAGAGATAAAAAGTGGCAAGGACACTATGGTCACTCAGTACCAAAAAAACCTGACCATAGATAACAATACACCCATGGTACCGTATCCAAAATGTCAAGAAGGAAGAGGATGTTGGGCTAGATGACCTCCACCAGTCCCTTCCAACCTATTTGATTCTGTGATTTAGAAAAGCTCAGAGATCCCATTCAAAGTTAAGGAACATTTCTTGGATTTTTTTATCCATATAAACCAGATATTTCATTAGAGACAAGCTTCGAGAATGCTGGTGTCACAAAATTTCTTTACAAACAAAAGACCTTAGTCTTCCTCGAATTAAGAGCACAGAACATATGAAGATTTTATTTTCCGTATTCCTTAAGAGAACATCTAAAATTTACAAAAGAGAAGCTATTCTTCTGTCACCAAGCACAGCTTTATCATCATGAAAGCAGGTAATTCTTCCAAACTTCATTAATTTTATTCAAAAAGAAAGAAAGGATTTGTCAGAAAGAAAAAGCTGACTGAAGAAATGTTCATTCTTTCTACAGATTTTTCACAGATTCATTAGGTCATCTATGACCTGATCAGATGTACAGATAATAATAGCATCATGGGAGAAGACAGACAATTGTTTCTATAGTACAAGGCCTCAAGAAGCATTTAGAGAACAATTTCCAGAAGAAGTTCTCTAGGCACTTTCTTCCACCTGTGGCTGCTCAATACATTATTGAAGTGACACATGAAAACACAAAAAATACATTTTAGATGATACAACATGAATAATCTAGAATTACAGAACTTTTAAGCTGACATGATTGTCTACTTTTCTATCCAACAGATCACTCAAACACACCTTAACTCATTAACAAGTGTAGATTAACAAAACTGATCCCAGGCAGGTGACTATATAGGTGAGCCTGGTATGAAGGTAGTTTAAATGTAACTGCAATCCTGATTTTTGCACAAATCCATTAATCGGTTCCCATGCCAAACCAGAATGACCACTACATAGGCATTTAATGAATTATCAGTATAGGCCATTTGAGTTTTGGCAGCTTTTTAGAATTTAAAGCCAGAACTTCAAGAAGTTCCAAAAATCTCATCTTACAGAGTTAAGTATGGAACTGATACCAAAGTTCTCCATTTGCTGCATATTTCTGAGTTGGCTACAGGAAGAAGATACTGTGGAAGAATGATCAATTGTATGACAGAGCTCCAGGCATACAAGAAAACATAGAATATTCTTTCGGCATTCAGTAAGAAAAACATCCCTTCTGAATGACTTAATTATGCCAGAAGATAAGGTGTTTCCAACTGGTGTGGAGGGGTGTCCTCCTTTGTTTATTCTCTTGTATACCCACAATTCCTAAGAATTTTTTTTTCTCCTCTAAAACAGTATCTAATATTGGTTGACAAGATCATTATGTGGTTAATGCTCTGTAAATAAATCAAGTTATTACATCTCAATTAAAATGCTTACGTTTAAGAACTGCACTGGTACTGCCAAACAAGAAAGTATTTTTTCCAGGATGTCAGCACTCTTTCTAAGGTCTGAGGTTCCTTTTCACAGAAGTAGTAACGTACAAATTTTGTGGTATGCTTCCAAACACAGGATACTTTCTTTTATTCTGCTTTTCCTGCCTAGTGCATACAGTCATTTTTCTTAAAACACAAAGTACAATACAAGCCAATATAAATATTGTACTAAGAACCAATAGATTAGGAATACTGTTAGCAATAGCAAACGTGAAGCTCTCTAAATCTATACATAAATCACCCTTTCAGAGATTCATTCCCTACTCAACTTCTTTAGAAACTAAAGGACGACCACGTTAACCTGTTTATTATGCTTCACATTTTGAACAATTTTGTTTTGGTCTGAGCTTGAAAGGCTTTCCAGAATTGTTCCAATATGGAAAATGTACCAGTGAAAGAGCCTGTTAAATGGCAAAATGGAATAATTACATATTAAGTATTATACAATTGCATAGCAATTATTTTGTTAGTCTAACCTATTAAGTAATTCTGTTACACTGTGCATGCTCAAAAATTATAAATATTTCAAGTGACTTTTTATTAACTAATTACAGATATCCTTCTTTAAGATCATACCTGTTTAAACAAACTGATAAGAACATTCACATGAACAGTACTTAAAAGTCACTAACTACTACCTTAGATGGTTTCTTTTAAATACACATCTTGATGACAACAGGACTGGAACAGCAGTATCCTCAAGACTGCTAAACAAGAATGTTGTTTTCAATGCAGAAAAATGTGCAATGAATTCCTCATTTGCTCTTAAATATTGATATAAAGTTGTGGTAATGCAGCACTCTTAAAAACAATTTTAGGGTCGTGACCAGAAACGTGATTCAAAAATGTGCATGGCAGCGCTTGGTTTTGTTTGTGTGTTTTTTCTGTTTTTAGAATGCCTTCATGTAGCAAAAAGTTCCCTGCTAGCCTAATTTAATGCTTTCACTTTTCTAGTTATGCTGAAACATCAGTTAAGAGCCTACCTGATGTTTTGGAGAATTTGCTGTGCTGGGATTGATATTCCGCAATGCCTAAGAGTAAAAATAAGATGGATAAAAATTACTTTAGCTGCATGGTTTACCTATGCAGGCTGTCTTACAAACACCATCTTATAGTATCAAGCCCCCAAGACAGGCCAGATGAGACAGGATAAGGGAGTTAAGAAACTATAAAAATCACGACACAGTGAAACAAAACTCACAGATTTACCAAGGATGCGTATTTGACAGATAAAGCTTAACAGCTAGGGAGAACAACATGAAGAAAACTGGCTGTCACCTGGTCCAAAGTTAGTCAGGTTCTCAATGACAACTGAGGCAAGAAGACAATTAGAAGGCCTACCTAGAAGCATGCTAGCGCAGGGTAAAATGTTTTTTTGTGGATTAATTGCAAAGCAGGAACAGCAGAAGCCCAGGTGCTGAAGCAAAGAGAAAGTCCTGATGCCACCTTTGCAATGTAGTCTTACCTAAAGTACTATAAAAAGTAACGGCTGTAAAGATGACCCATCTTACACCAAGAGATGCTGAAGATTCCTACAAAACAGGCCTTGACTACAAAGGGGATAACGGGAGTCAGATTCCAGGACAGAATACTGCAGGTGATGAAGAAAGAGAAAAGCTGTCTTTGAGGACATTAAGATACTATCCTCTTCTGATACAAGGCCCATCACCCAAAGTGAAAAGGATAAGATTTTAGAAGGTTTTCCTTAAAGAAAAGATTAGTGCTTTCTCTGGCAGTGTCAAAACCCCCAAGAATACCCTAAGTATCTAGCAAAGATGGTAGCTTTCAGATCCAACATTCAGATCCAACATTCAGATGGAAAAATCGAAGTGGAAGGCTTAGAGTCAAAAGGAGGTCAAGCCCGAATTGAAAATCCAGAGATTGCAAAATCCAGTCCTACACTTTAACACCTGCTACACTATATTCATATAGGAGAAAAATACTGAAAGGAATAGCTTGCTTTATTATGAATTTAACTTTTTATGAAGTTTGCCTAATTATGAAGTTTGAAGTTCTTCAGTATACGAAAACCACGGATTCAAAATGCAGCACGACTGATTCAGTTGTTCCATGCTCGCTCCACTGTTGAACAGGTAAGATTTTGGCAACAAAGTGTCCCCCCTTAATGTATCTTATATGAACTTTAAAAATACCTCAAAATACTGCAGACCGCGACAGGTTCTAAAACTTTCTTCCACTTAAAAGGGAGAACACTAAAGCAGCTGTGGGATCCAACTTTTTGCATGACTTGGAACTCAATGAATATGAAATTTATCCTCAAGAGGAATATCCAATCACATCAACAGTCCATGTTGTCATCCTTTTTAGTTTATGAAACCTGTTCTCAGAGAGTTCTTTTAGAGGGAGGAATGAGGGAGGAAAGCAAAATTCTTCAGTCTGATAAGTCAGATACTTTCACTACCAAGCTGATATCAGTAAGAGCATGAATTCAGACCTTTCTAGATCTCAAAGCTTTTTGTACAGTCACAGGTCTTTAAGACTCACTGAAACAACAACTTAGCCAAATCAGAACATAACATACAAAAGAAAGAGTGGAAGTAGGTGTCTAACCTGTGGCCTCACCTGCCGAAGCAGTTCTTGATGCTTCAGTCTCAGCCTTTCTTTCTCCATCTGTAGCTGCTGAAGTCTCATCTGTTGCTGCTGATTGGAGCTACTCCCACCCATCACACCACCCTGGGGACTCTGAGGAGCCAGAGGAGGTGGCTGTTTCACTGGAGCACTTTGGCTGATTCGCTGATTCATAGCTAAGGAACCAAAACAATAAACATTTAAAATGAAATTCAAACAACTACATGCAAGGAAAGTATTATCCATAAAAGGCATATATTAAAAAATTTATATGACAAGCCATGACAGTGCAAAATAGGCAGCTACACTGATGTTCGAAGTGTGACATGTATGCTCATGTGTGAGCAATCAATGTGTGTAAAATTAAAGCAATAGTCTCCTGTTTAAGAATGCATACTTGTTCTAAAGGCTTCTGAAAACAGTTAAATATGTAAGCTGGTGAAATATTCAAAACTAGTAGTAAAATATTTCAGGTCGAATTAGAAGGATCTCTCTTCTTCCTAATAAACTATTCTTACTTTAGACACAAATACTACAAAATAACTTCTTTTATTCATGTGAAATCTTAGAACCATTTAACTCAAGAACACACAGAATGACAAAATGGATCATCCTACTTATACTGAACTACATCTAGTTAAAGTTTAATTTAACTGGAATTTAAATTCTTCCCATTGTGGTGAAGGTCACACAGTGAGCATTCACATCCATGTCACATCAAGCTTTTAGTGTTACAGACTCTATTTAGAGCTTCTTGACAGGCAAAATTAGAGCTGGTACAGAAATGGTAGATGAATTATACAGCCATAACTACTGACATCAACATAGGAAGGATTTTGCTTCATTTTCCTTTACCCCACAGCACTATGCAATGCATCTTTTCTCAGGAGTGGAGAAGAAAAAGTGTCACTTTGTATGCCTAATGCACAATGAGAATCCATCTTCCCCCATAAAATCAAGGTCTAAGATAATTTTATTTTATAAAATAATGCATGACTGGGATGCATCTACCAGACAGGTCTGATTTCTCCCTCATATAAGACCAGTATGGGTAAAGTCAATAGAGTTCCCACAGTGAAACAGAGGGTTAGGAAAGGCTGACCGTATTGCAAGGACAACATTTCCAAGGGCTTTCAGTTTTGGAATTAACTCTCCATCATGTTGTCTGTAATAGCCTGAATCTGTTAACATTCACAGAATGCTACAGAATGAAACAGTGATAGGAGAATGGTAGGGATTTATATTTTTTTTCTGGGAATGAGGGTTATGGTTTATGGAAACATAATAAAAAAAAAAAAAAAAAGGAGAGAGCTTCTTTTAGGTGATTTGGGGCAAAAAAACCCCATCTGTTGAATTAGTTCGATTTAATGTTCTCATCATATAGAGGATTCCTGGAACACTAACACTTCTAACTGCCATAAGAAAGGAGAACTCTCATAAAGAATTGGTATCTTTTCCCTGAAAAGCCCTTCAGTCTCCACTGTCCATAAGCTTTTCTCCCTTTTTTCCTTGCCACAGCTCACCTTTCCATTGGGAGGTAATATATGAAGAAAAAATGCCATATACTAACTGGAGTAATAACAGAAAGGAAAACCAAAAACAAAAAACCAAACCAAAACAAACAAACAAACAAAAAAAAACCACCACCAAAAAAACTAAAACAGTAACAGACTTCACTCTTCAGTCTACCCTTTCAACTAATCCACTGGTCTAGCACAAAATCAATAGTCTAACAGGCAGATGGGTCCCATTTTCATGAGTCGAGTCAAGTCAAAATAAAATGGTGTCAAATAGCTTGAAGTAATTTGAAATCATATTTTATGCAGTTACTAGTGAGAGAGCCTCATACATACAATCGCTAATAAGATAAAACTTCCTGTAAAGGTAAGTGAACCAGCGAGAAGGAATAGAAACTGAATCCCAGTGCCAAGCAGAAACAACGAAGTGACTACCAAGGGCCGGAGGTTCAACTCCAACCCACAAGTCCCATCCTTATCACGTGTGGAAAAAAAACAGTGAGCAGATGAGATTCCTGTGGATCAAAGCTTAAAATCAAGCAGTTGATGTGATGAGACACCCAGCATCACTTCACCATCAGAACTGAATTCAGGAAGAAGTTGACCAGAATCAGCTAATTAACCACATTTCCTATTCAAGCTGTGGTCTCTAAGGCAGCAACAGGAAGACTGGCCCATAGACACCAGAAAATGTTAAGCAGCAGTTCAAACAGCTTCAACAGCTGTCCTGTAAGGATGTGGGCAGTGAACTTTTAATTACATGCTCCAGGATCTCCACTGGGCAATGTCTCCTGGAAGACTGACAGCAATTAGACCTACAGTTACCAAATTAGGGCAAAGTTGAAGCTAGAGAAAGCAATGCAAAAAGAAACGCAGCCCATCTAGCAGCTCTAGGCAAGCTAGACGTGACATTGCTGGAGTGGGGAACATATCTCCTTCCTTCTCTCTTTTAAAGTCTGGAACCAGGACCATGCCTTTTGCTTTATATATCTTACCCTCTTTCAACTTAAAAGCAGTAAAGAAGGAGTTAGTAGGGAACAACAGAAAACAACAGCCTTCTCCTGCTGTTAGTGAATTCTGCAACTCCATCAGAAGTTTGTGCTACCCTTCAGAAGCTCCAGGATTCAAACCCTGATATTAAATAAGATAGAAGGTTGGTTATAGTGGAAAGTCAAGAGGGGAGGAAGTTAGAAAATTACAATCACATGAAAGAAGCACACCTAAGTTAAAAGCAGACTACCTAGTTTGTAAACCAAAGCTGATAAATGTCAATTTTCTTTTGCCTTTATGGTTTAATCCCCAATAATATAATCATGGTTTTGGAGTCCTGCCTCAATGCAGTTCACAGCCAAGTCATGTTACAGATAACCTCATAAAAATTTAACAGTGTCTAACCTTAGTTAAACACTTAAGTGCAGTATCAGTAACATTCCTTCAATATGTTATGATTTTGTTTTTCCTGAATGCACCATACAAATATTTCCCTACGTCGCTTTTATAATAGAAATAATTTGTAAATAATTTCCTGCTCATGCCATATGCTTCATATTTTATATACGTGTATCTTTCTGACAGCTCCTTGTATCATTCCTGTTCTCTCTGACCACTGTTTGCTCCATTCTTCTAATCTACTGACTTCACAACAAAAACTAGAAGAAAGAAATCATGTTTTTTTGACATTTTTCATTTTAATCCCTCATCCTAGATCCCCAAAATGCTTTCTAATGTCTATTTTTAAAGTAATTTTGTAACTGAAAGCATATCTAAAACTGGAATATCATAAGATACTGAGACTTTGGTGTATACTTAATAGTCATCAATAAATATTAGAGAAAAACTTAATGAGATGATTTGGCAACTCTTCGGAAACTGAACCTAAAACTCCAGTTTCTAAATTATTATTAATCAAGTATCCATTAAAAGGATGTTTCTGAACATTTTATTATTTCAAGAATGAAAGTGCAAAGATTTCAAACTGATAAGACTTTAAACTGTCCTCAGAACAGATCATGGAGATGTTTCTTTATATGAGTGAACTATTTTTAACCCTGAATATAAACTAAAAGTTAGGATATTAAAAGAAGATGCAGCTAACTGAATTTCATTGACTTAACATATCCAAGTGAAGAACCAGTGAAAAAAAACCCCAGCAGTAATAACAGAGTGATTTTCAGCCACCTTGGTGATTACACAAGTGCACAATCTTTAAGGGAAAGAGAAAGAAGAATGTAATTTTTTATCATTTCCAACACAATATTTAATGAAAAGAGGGGAAACACATCTTGTTTCTATGACAGTGAAAAACGAGGGGTTTAAAGCTTGTTGCTGTTGCTTTGGAGTTGTTTTTTTTGTTTGTTTGTTTTGTGGGTGGTTTGGGGGTTTTTTTACATTCTCAATTCTCCCTTACTTACCATGGATGCAACTGCAGAGATCTACACTCTAAAGAACACACTTATCAATGTGATCTCAGATAAGCACATTTTATTTTTTCCACATCTCATGGTTTTGTGATGATCCTGACACGTACAGCTCTTTTTAAGTACTTTGAATTCAAAGGTGAAGAGTTTCATTTTATCTGTTAGCTATACCAGTTTTCTAATATATCCTATTCCTTACCTTCCATGGCTATGGAAAGCATTTAAATAAGGGTCTCTGCACCCACACAGTGGAGGCTGCAAAGACCTCACAGGCTGAGCAGGAACAAACAAGTCTTTCTTTCTAGAAGAGGGGGATTTGAGGGAGGAGGGGCAGACAAGTTAAAAAACACAGGCAATTTAAGACAATAAAAAAGATCTTGTAGTCCTATCATATGGCTTAGCTTCACAATCTGCAGGATATAGTCACTTGTAATTTCTGCAATATGCTTTCAAGAACAGAAAATGAGTGGTCTTCAAATGCTACAAATTAAATGTTCTACTGCCCAAACTCAACAGCAAAAATGCCTCTTCTGTACTGCAGGAGATAATACCTGATAGTTATTGAAAACAAATTTAGACTGTTGTCTAAATGACAAAGACTAGAGAAAAAAAAAAAAAAAAAAGGGAAGAAAGAAAGAAACAAACCCCCAAAACCAAGAGGGAGAAAATATTACCAGGCATTGGTGCTAGAGAGAAAAGGCCACAGCTTGTTAACAACTGAAACATAAAAGGCTAATTCTCTCCCAAGATTCTACGTCAATTGAAAATCACAAGTCCCAGGGCTTGCAGTAACACTTCTTTTTCCCTATGGAGAATCCCATGCAGAGGTTGCACCCTTAATGATTAATAGGCACAGCTGAACATTTGATTTTCTTTCTTTCATTGTAATTCCACCCTTCAAAGCTAAACCTAATTTTAATCTGCAAGATTAAAGACATTATTTAGTTGAACAAACAACAACAAAAAAGCTCAGAATTTGAGCATATAACTGACTGTCCTTAGTAATAAAAATCAATGTTTTCATTGGGGGAACTAAAAAAGAGAACTTGTCCACTTCAGCTTCATTTAGAAACCAGATATCATTTTTGTCATTATGCATAATTTTTGGCTATTGTCAGGTTTTTACATGGTGCTAGTTTGCAACTACAACAAAGGTAAAAAATCCTCTTTGAATACATTCAAACGATCTGTGAAGAAAAAAAGTTACCAGCAGGATTTCAAAGAGTGAGCCTCGGAAGTAAT